TGCCTGAGCACAGACTAAGTCTACTGCTCAGACTGCACCACCCATGCCCTCCACACAAAAACACAGGCCCTTGTCATGTTGTGGTTGTCAGAAGAATCCAGTGAAATTCAAGACTATGATTTTATACCCTGCCCCAATCCCAAGACCAGCTCACTTTCAGGACATCGTTACTCATAGACAGTCTGAACACCCTAAAACAGCAAAGAACAAGGTTATTTGAAGTTCTTCCATAAATAGGAGTTAGACCTAAGACTTCAGTGGACATCACTATCCTTCGGATCCAGGTTGCCTTTCTAAGCCATGGGCCTGAGGCCAGAAGCACTCAGGGGTCTTGAACCATTGAAGCCCATAGCAAATTCCATCTGATTATCTCTGCTCCTTTGTGCCACACACCAGTCAGGATTACAGGAGTAATCTAACTATTGCAAGCCATCTATAATTAATAGCAGAGAAGGAAAGGGAAGGGAAAATAAAGAAAGCATATTACATCAGGAAAACTGAGAAACAATAGGCAAAGGACAGATAGTGCTTCAAGGTGACCTGTAGGGAGCAAAATAAGATGAAACAGGTGTGGAAGCTTACTCAGAAAGAATAATTACAATACAGAGAAAACACTGGCAGAGAGAAGAGGATGCAATTGTAGCATAAAAGGGAGATCCACCCTTATTCCAGTTCTGAAGCTCAGAAAAGCATAAGGCAGGGCAGGGGAACAGTGCCAGTGACAGAGTGGGGAGAACAGTGTGATAAGAGGCCAAAAAAAAGCCAAATGGGAAATTCTCATGCTGGGAAAACTGCCCTGGAAAAGGTAGGATTAAATAATAAGGAGGGCTAGCAGTAGCAAGGGGAAGAGGGGGCAGGAACAAGAGGGTAGGGGAGAGGTAGACCTGTAAGGAAGGAAAGATCGTGGCACAGGACAGTCCCCTGGACGCCACAGTGAGCCATGTGAACAGAGGGGGTATGAGGGGTTGTAACAACAGGAGGTACTCACTGCAAAGAGGGCCATCGGCAGAACTTGTAACCATCAAACTGGACTGCAGAGGATATGCTGAGGGAAAATTCAGTTGTCACCATGCAGGGAACAGGGCAGCAATGGAATAACAGTCTAGAGAGGGCCTGGTCCCTGCCACTGGAAGGAGGAAGTGTTACTACAGGACGCCAGGGTAGAGGGTGTGAGAAGAGCAGGAGGGTGTGATGGCTGCAAGCAGCCCAGTCCAGGAGAGGAAATGAAAGCAAACTTCTCCAGCCTGCTACCCTGGCAGAGCATGAGGCAGGGTGAGGACTCCAGAGGCCAGCTCAGATAGGATGTGAGGATGTGATATGATGGGGACATGGATGAGGGGGCTGGAGTGTCTGAGCAGTTGAAGTTGGGGGAAATCTGCTAAGTCTGCATCCCCTGGGATCTAACAGGGCAGCAGACGCCCTCCTAAAGGCTGTGGCAGCCAGCAGCATTGCTGAGAAGGCTGTGGAGGCAGCACGAATGGCCAAACTAATCGCAGAGGACCTACAACCCATGCTCGAGGCTCCAGGTGAGTTGTGGGCAACCTGAGGAATAGGTGAGCCCCTGGAGGGCCAGGGAGGCTCAGGTGATTGCAAAGGGGAGGGCAAGCACCACCAGAAGTCGGGGGATGGGAAAAGCCAAAGTAGAGTCCAAGGGTTTGGAGTATGGGGACCATGCCCAGTTGTTGGATGGGACTGAAAATTATGAACCGGGCTAATGGGGTGTCAGGTCTGGTGTTAAGCTAGGAGCCTAGGGATACCAAAGACTGTGGAAGTGCCTCAGGGGCTGCAACTGCTCAGGCAAGTCCCACTGATGCCTAGCTATCCCTCCCCAGGCCGCAGACCCAGGCAGGACTCAGAAGGTTCCGACACAGAACCCTTGGATGAGGACAGCCCTGGGGTGTATGAGAATGGACTGACCCCATCCGAGGGCTCCCCTGAACTGCCCAGCAGTCCTGCCTCCTCCCGCCAACCCTGGCGACCCCCTGCCTGCCGGAACCCACTGCCACCTGGAGGAGACTGGGGCCCCTTCTCCAGCCCCAAAGCTTGGCCTGAGGAGTGGGGGGGCCCGGGGGAGCAGGTGGAGGAATTAGCTGGCTACGAAGCTGAGGATGAGGCTGGGATGCAGGGGCCAGGGCCCAGAGATGGTTCCTCACTCCTTGGAGGCTGCAGCGACAGTTCAGGAAGTCTTCGAGAGGAGGAGGGTGAAGATGAAGAACCCTTGCCCCAGCTAAGGGTTTCAGGGGGCTCAGAGCCTGAGCCTGTTGCCAGTCCAGTCCTGAGGGCCACTTCCCCGACGGGTCTGGATGCCAGGTGCCTGATGGAAGAATCCGAGGAGCCTGCTGCAACCGAGAGGCCTGCCCAGCCGGTAAGACATCCCTGGTCCCCACTTCCAAAGCCTGGCCTCCCACCCTTTCCAGACCTCTGGAAAGATCCCCTGGGGGACTCTGACTTCATGCCAGGCTAGTCTTGGATCATATCCCACTGCAAAAAAATAGCCAACTTCAAAGATGGGCGGAATCTTGGAGACCTTCAAGCCCAGCTCCCTCATTTGACAGATGGGGTAACTGAGGCCCAAAGCAGTTAAAGTAACTTTCCCACAGTTACAAACTAATAATTAATGATAGAACCAGAACATATTTTCCTGTTCTCCTTCCATATCATTTCCAGCTCCCAGTTTCCTACTCCACCCCCACCCCCACCTCCGCACTTTCTCTCTTTGGTGCCCAGAAATAAAAAAAGAAAAAATTCTTCCCTCCCTACCCTCACTCCTCCTCCCTTTCCTGGGAAGAAGGAAAATAGGAAAAAAGGCAGAAGACCAGAAGAGGCGGAGTTTCTCCTCAACCCTATACTCTGATTGGCCTCCAGGCCATCTTCTGTTTCCTAGCAACCACATCCTCACCCCCTCCATCCCTCTGCCTTACTGCAGTACTGGCTGCTGCTGCCAACGTCTGCTACTGCTACTAAGACCCGGCACCTTCTGCTGGGGCCACATGATATGCTGATGGGAGGGGAGTGGAGGGAGGAGGGAAAAAGTCTTGAGAGTGCCAGAGCAAAGGTGGGTGCTTCCTGGGAGAAGGGGGTTGTTTTGAAATACTAAACAAGGAGATCCACCTGCTGTCTGCAGGGAGGTGTCTGGGACCTTCAGCTTTGCTACTGAAGCCCAGACAGTGAGGCACAACATAGCTCTCTGGATGTGGTCCTCAGGGACTGAGGCTGCTTCCCTCTCTCTCTCTAGGGAGCTGCCAACCCGCTGGTGGTGGGAGCCGTGGCCCTCCTGGACCTCAGCCTGGCGTTCCTGTTCTCCCAGCTCCTCACCTGAGGCTACTTCCTGGCCTACTTCTGGCTTTGGTTGCCTGCCTCTTCACCCCTTTGGCCTGCCTTTTTCTCGTCTCCTCATCCTGGTTGTTTTTGCACCTATCTTTCCTTTCTCTTCTGTCCCCCTTTGTTTTTGTCTCCTGCTTTTGCCTCCTTCTCTTCTTTCAGATTCTGTCATTTATCCTGGACCCCTCTCTTTCTTCCTCACCCCCTTTTTCTCCAGATTGTTTACATACGAAGGGCTTTTCTCTCAGAGATGCTCTGATCTCTGAGACACACCAATCTAAGTCAGACCATTGCCCCTTGCCCTCCCTACCTTTTCTTTAAACCTAAACTTCGCTGAGGGTGGGGATTTGGTGTCCTGAGGAGTGTCCTGGAAGCTGAATGGAAAGGAGAAAAAAAATGGGAACAAGGTGACTGGATGCTGGAGAAGCTGCTGGCTGAGGCCTATGGCCCAAGTGAAAAGGCTGGGGGAGGCGCTGCCTCCTTCTCTCACCTTGGAGGGTATTGCCTCACCTCCCAGCACCCAGCTAGGTTCTTGCCTAACTTGACCCTCCCTGGAGGAAGCTAAAGGCAGGAAACAATGGAACAAGGTCCTAGGCTCTCCCTCTTTCCTTCCTCTACAGCCAGTCCCTCTTCCCACCCCCTGCGAGGGCATGCTGAGCCCACAGCAATGTGTAAAGGAACGACCACACCCACCCCTCTCTGGCTTTGCCACTGACCTCTCTGCCCTTCTGTGTCCCTTAAAAGTTTATTTGGTTGGTCTGGATTCACTTGTGGCCTTTGATTAAATTCCTATAGGGCCTGAAGAAGACACTTCTACTGCAGAGGGTTAGAGGCATTTAAGCCAGGACCCTGCTCCCCAACTCTGGCATTTGTAGCAGGGGAGGCGTTTCTGGGGGGATAAAACCAAGTGAGCTAACAGGCTCATGGACAACAATTGGGACAAGTCTTGTAGTCTCCAAATGGGTTCTGTCCCTCCCCGCACATCTGAATCTTGTGGAATGGGAAACAGCAGACAGAGGGGATCAAAGGAAGCTGCTATCTCGATTCCTCTTCCCTGGAGGGGTGGAGGTGGGCCTCAGACCTTGGTTGAGGTGGGTGGGGTGACCTGTGGAGATTGCTGGCTGATCCCTGGTACTAGCTTTTCCCCCCAGGGGCAGGAAGCCCTAGAAAGGGGCCTGTAGGGTCCCCTGGGGATCCTTCCTCCCTCCCCTGCATGAGGCAGAGACAGCTGCCTGCCAACCCCCTCCCTCAAGGAATGGCCTTGCCCGGGAATGCCCACCACACACACCCTCTTTTTTTTCTAGTCAAACTGTTTACTCCTTGGCCTGCCTCCCTCCTTCCTCCCCTTTCAACCTTTACTTCTGGTTTCTATTTCATGGAATTTGGGATTGAAGTTATACAACAGTGCCGCCAACACCAAGTCTTGCAGGAAAAAAATACAAAGAAATTTAACAAAAAATATATTAATAAAAAAGTTCAAAAAAGGGGGGATCATCATCTCCTTTGGGCTGCGATGGCTTCAAAACCCAAACTCTTTGGGGCTTTCCGGGCATGCGGAAGTAAAAGTAGGTTTATCATATAGCCCAGTGCCCCGCGCTGGCAACAGCTCCATCCCCTAAGGCGGCCGAGATCGGAAGCCTCACGAGGGCGGGTCCCGTGGTGGAGGCGGGGAGAGGGAAGGACCCGACCAAGCTCCAACCCCTACTAGGCCTTGTACCAGGAAGCGCTAGGGGGTAGAGAAGCTTAGAACTGAAGACAGGTGAGACTTGGCGTTGTGGGGCAGGAAAACCGAGGCAGCTAGAGATGGAAATGGCGGGAAGGGATCTTGACAAAGCAGCAGCGCCGGGCCCTGGAAAGAAGAAAAGGCTGAGCTGCTTGCGGATGGGACACCAGGTGGGGGAGGGAGGGACTGTGGCGCACGCTCGGTAGGAACAGGCTAGGTAGGAACTGGCGTGGGGTGGGGACGCATGCGTACTGGGAACCCTTGGGGGGAAGTAGATATTTGTAGACCTGGGTGGGCAAAGGTAAATGTCGGTCCAACTTTAGCGTAGGGGTGGCACCAGAGCCCTTAAGATTTTGGCATGGGACAAGGCTGATCACCCAGTCAGAGAACTGTAAAGCCTTCTTCACTCTTGGGCTCTGGCCCCCTCCCCCAGAATGGTGGTGTCTTCGCTAAAGCTTCACGACCTCATCGAGGAGATTCGTGGGGCCAAGACCCAGGCCCAGGAACGGGAGGTGATCCAAAAGGAATGTGCCCATATCCGGGCGTCCTTCCGTGATGGGGACCCTGTGCAGAGGCACCGCCAGCTGGCTAAACTGCTCTACGTGCACATGTTGGGCTACCCCGCCCACTTTGGACAGGTAATGGCCAGAGATACCTCCCTCTGGAGTTTGAGGCCAGAGGTTAATGAGACAGGGTCCTGGACCTGCTCACATGTATTTGTACCTCGACTGTTTTCACCTTCCAGTTCCTGAGCCCTCACTGTGCACTGAAAAACCTCCTTACCCACTGCAGCCCCTATTTGTCAGCTGGCCTAAATCCTTCATTCTCTCACTGGCTCCATTCAGGGCATCTTCTCACCTTGCCCTCCTGCACTCCTGGATCATTGAAACTACCCCCCCCCCATCCTGAATCTCAAGCATCTTCTCTGGCTGATGAGAGGGTGGTTGTTTTTTTAAATTTTATTTATTTATTTATTTATTTATTTATTTATTTATTTATTTATTAGAGACAGAGGTGTGTGGCCAGCTCAGCCCACCAGGGGGCGCGGCTGGCTGGCATGTGGTGCTGGGGGATCAAACCTCGGTCCCTGATGCTTTGCTAAGCTTGTTCTAAGTAGGTGCTTTAGACCACTGAGCCATCTCTCCAGCCCCGAGAGGGTGGTTGTTATGATGTCCCACATTACAGTAATCTGGTGTTAAGGAAGACAGTGGGATGTTAGTGTCTCTTGTTTCACCCCTGCTCTTCCCGATCTGCCCCCTTCTCTACAGATGGAGTGCCTGAAACTGATTGCTTCCCCCCGATTCATAGACAAGAGGGTGGGCTACCTGGGGGCCATGCTTCTGTTGGATGAGAGGCACGATGCCCACCTGCTTATTACCAACAGCATCAAGAAGTGAGAGTGTTATGGGGCAACTTGAAATCAGGGAGATGGGCGTGGAAAACAGAAATCTCAGGGTACTGCCTGCTGTATGGGGGCCTGGTTTTCTCAGAGGCTTGACTGTCCATCCTCCCAACCCTGCAGCGACCTGAACCACGGGATTCAGCCAGTTCAAGGCCTGGCTCTGTGCACGCTGAGCACCATGGGCTCCGCTGAGATGTGCCGGGACCTTGCCACAGAGGTGGAGAAGCTGCTCCTGCAGCCAGGCCCCTATGTACGCAAAAAGGTGAGATGCAGAACTTTAAGCACTTGTAGCTCCAGAAACTCTCCCTGGTTTACCAGGTAGGAGGGGTGAGGAGCCCTGCCTAGTGGACTCCTGCCCTATCTGATGCCTCTGACCCCTGCAGGCTATTCTGGCTGCAGTGCACATGGTCCGAAAAGTTCCCGAGCTCTCTGACATTTTCCTTCCACCTTGTGCCAAACTGCTTCATGAGCATCACCATGGTAAGGCCACTGGGTTTTCCATCCTCTGCTTCAGGTCTGGCTATAGACAGAAGTAAAAAGCAGGGGAGCCAGGGAGATGGCTCAGTGGAATAAGCATTTCTCTGGCAAGTGCAAGGGCCTGAGTTCAATCTCCAGTTCTGCAAAAAAAAAAAAATAAGAAGTAAAAAGCAGGCCAGGAACACCAGCTCTTAGGACAAAAGGTTGCATACACACATGCACACAGTAGACTGTCCTGTGCCCTGGCCTACCACTCACTTCCCTGCTCTGACCCCAGGCATCCTGCTGGGCACCATCACGCTGATCATGGAGCTCTGCCAACGAAGCCCTGCAGCTCTCAGGCACTTTCAAAAGGTGGGCTGGTCCGAGAGGGGCAGTGGTAGAGGACTGGGGCATATGGTTGACAGAATGAGAACGGATGTGCAGACCAGGCCTTGCCCTCCCTCCAGGTGGTACCCAAGCTGGTGCAGATCCTCCGAACTCTGGTGACAACTGGATACTCCAAAGAGCATGGCATATCTGGAGTCAGTGACCCTTTTCTGCAGGTAGGGGAACTTCCCCGTTATGTCCCTGGAAGAGAAGGCTTAACAGTAAGACCACTGCCAGTGGTCACCTAGAGGTCACTTTGGCTCAGAGTATTGGGCAGGAGGATGGCAAGCTCAGGTTTGCCCTGGTCACACCAGGACCAGTTGGGGGAGAAGGGATGCTTAAAGTTCAGAAAATTCAGTTTATAAAAATAAAAGCTTGTCCTTAACTCCCCTGATCTGCATACAAAGGACCTGTAGAGATGACAAGGAAAGATGGGAGGCTCTAAAAGGCTGAGCCCTCAACGTTGGATTTTTCTCCTCTGACCTACAACTATTAACTCCTTCATCTTTCACCCATTAACCCAACCTTAGGTCCAGATACTTCGTCTGCTTCGGATCCTGGGCCGGAACCACGAGGAAAGCAGCGAGACCATGAATGACTTACTGGCCCAGGTGGGCACTCAGAAGGGGACCACAGCTTAGATGCCCCTGTGGAGGGAAGATGGGGTCCACCAGCCAGGGTATGCCTCACATGGACTCTGCCTGTGCAGCAGTCATGTAAACACCCCTTCATCTTCTCTAATCATTAAAATCTATGCAGGAGGGACATAGGCAGTTACAGTGCTATTGCCCCAGTGCCCAGGCTGGCTGTAGCACAAAATAGGGCTTGGGGAGTTTTGTTGGAATGAAGCTGTGGGATGAAGACAAGTAAAAAACAGGACAGGAGCACCAGGACCCTAGGATGGAGAACAAGCCTTGTGCATATGCATCTCCTCCCATCCAATTAGGTGGCCACCAACACAAACACCAGCCGAAATGCTGGCAGCGCAGTCCTGTTTGAGACAGTACTCACCATCATGGACATCCGTTCTGCAGCTGGCTTACGGGTATCATCCCATATATTCTTCCACTGGGCCACCCCCCTCAGCCAGGCACATGTAGGCCCTGTTCACTGGCTTCTCCCCCTTACCTCTCACACAATGCCATGTGGCCCCTACTCCTGAGTGAATAGGTTGTATCTTCCTTAAATGTCCCAGCTGTCTGTCCCCCACAGGTTCTAGCAGTCAACATTCTTGGCCACTTCCTGCTCAACAGTGATAAGAACATTAGGTACGAACCCTGGTATCCTACTAGGCTATGCTACTAAACCTCAGCCTTCTACACTTCTCCTGCCAGAACCTCCCAATCTACCTACCTCTTACCATTACACCCAGGGCAGGACAGATTGTCAGGGCTGTTGGCCATGGTACCATACAGCCTTTCCCACCCTGGCCAGGTATGTGGCCCTGACCTCATTGCTAAGGCTGGTACAGTCTGATCACAGTGCCGTGCAGCGACATCGGTCCACTGTGGTGGAATGTCTGCGGGAAACAGATGCCTCCCTCAGCCGGTAAGCAGAGACAGGATAAGAGGACAGAGGACCCAGTGTCTGGTGGCCAAGATCCAGACTGGCTCAGAGCAACAGGATGACCAGGGATAAATGCAGACACCTTTCTCCTCCCCCAGGCGGGCCTTGGAACTGAGCCTGGCTCTAGTGAACAGCTCCAATGTGCAAGATATGACAAAGGAGCTACAGGCCTTTCTCAAGTCCTGCCCCCCAGATCTTCGGGCTGACTGTGCTTCAGGCATCCTGCTGGCTGCAGAGAGGTAAGTTGACAAGTGCCAGGAGGCAGGGAAGGTGCAGTTTTGAAGGGATAATGCCAGGACTAATAAGCTATGTCTCCTAGGTTTGCTCCAACCAAGCGGTGGCATATAGACACCATCCTGCACGTGCTGACAATGGTGAGTTGGGCAGGTTAGAGCTGGGCAGGAGTGGGCAGAGTTCATCCCACTGACAAGCCACCCACTCCAGGCAGGCACCTATGTGCGGGACGATGCAGTTGCCAACCTGACCCAGCTGATTGGAGGTGCCCAGGAGCTACATGCCTACTCTGTGCGCCGCCTCTACCATGCCTTGGCAAGGGACATCTCTCAGGTACCATCCCTGTCACAGTTGAGGGCTGCCCAGTAACTCCCTGGCCCCTCTTGGGCTCCTTTCCTGCACTGGATTCTGAACTGTTTTTCCCTCAGGAGCACAGCTGTCTACTTATTGCAGGAGATACTGCAGAACAGAGCCAGCCACCAGGCATGGTCTAGTGTACCTGTAACCCCAGCAGTCTGGAAGGCTGAGGCACCAGGATCCTAAATTCAAGCCCACTCAGGGCAATTGACTTACTGAGACTTTGTCACAAAATAAAAACTGCTGTAGATATAGCATAGAGATGGCCTTGGGCTCAATCCTTAGTTCCACCAAAAAAAAAAAAAAAACCAACCCTGCTTTTTAATTAGAATACCTGGGCTCTTGTCCTGGCTGCATAAACCTCAGATGATTAATTTAACCTCTTTTAGGCCCCATGGGCTGTTTTCTATCGTGCCTACTTCCCAGAGCTGCCTGGAAAACCAAATGAGACAGATAAAAGATTGTGTATGTACTTATTTTATTTTACCTTAAATGCAGATTGAATTAACGTACTTGCTAGTATCTACAGACTCCTCCCCCTTTTCATTTTTTTGATACAAGTCTCATTAAGTAGCTTAGACTGGCCTCAAATTTACAGTTCTCTTGCCTCAACCTCGAGTGCTATTATATCACTGCAGGCATCCGCCACCTCACCCAGCTGCCTAGCCTCCTTTTCCATCTTAAGGTGGGCTAGTACCACCCACTTTCCTCAGAACATGGACCGCCCGAGCTCCGTCACGTGGTTAGGCCATGTAGTTCTGAAGCTTAGCCACCAGGGAGCAGTAGGAACTCAGAAACTGGCTAGAGCCTGCCAATCCCTGATCTGTGCCCTGCCTAAGGAATTTGGCCTAGAGGAGAGGAGTGGACCCCAGACACTTGCCCATCAGTGTTTCTCCCACACAGCAACCGCTGGTGCAGGTGGCCACCTGGTGCATAGGGGAGTATGGGGACTTCCTGCTGGAAAACTGTGAGGAAACTGAACCCCTTAAGGTGAGACCTATGCGGTAGGTGCCCTGAGGGTCTCATCACAGGGCGCAGGGCTGGACCCAGAGTCACCACCTGCATCCACACCTGAAGGTAGAAGAGGAAGAGGTGTTGGCACTACTGGAAAAGGTGCTGCAGTCCCACATGTCCCTGCCAGCCACCCGTGGATATGCCCTCACAGCCCTCATGAAGCTCAGCACCCGGCTTCAGGGGGACACCAAGTAAGAAGCAGTTCCAAGCAATCATAAGAGTTCTCCACACTGCTCCCCAATTCCTAAGTTCTCCCAGAACATATATTCTTATTCCTCCCAGCTTTTGAGCCACACATCTTGGGTATCTTCTTTTTCTCTGGGGCCTCCCGCTTCACTGCCACATCCTGGAGTGAAAGGGCAGGACCAACTGCCCGTCATTCACAAGCCACGATTGTCAGCCGCATCCGCCAGGTGGTGTCCATCTACGGGAGCTGTCTGGATGTGGAGCTGCAGCAGAGAGCCGTGGAGTATAACATGCTCTTCCAGAAGTACGACCACATGAGGTGGGCCCAGCAGTCTGCTGCTGTGTAGGCCTCAAATCCCTACCCTGCCCTAAATGTCCCCTTCTAGATCTGAGGCTCTCAATCTTCCCTGTAGCCTTCCTCTTCTAGTCAGAGCCGTCCACCCAGTTAATGAAGCTAGACTGCCTCCTTACCCTCCGATAAGCAAGTGTGCCATCTTAGGCAATCACAGGATACTTCTGGCCCTCGTGTGCCCAGGGCGCTCCATGTTCCTAGCCCTCCTGCCAGATGCATCCTGTGAAAGGTGCAGGGTTCACACAAAAGAACACCTGCATTCCATCGTTTCAGAGCTGCCATCCTTGAAAAGATGCCCCTCGTGGAGCACAGTAGCCCTCAGGCTGATGAAAAAGCAAAAGGAAGCAGAGAAGTAGCCCCGCTTTCTGAAGACCAGGCCCTTGTCCCCACAGAGCCCCAGGTGAGGGGACTGGAGGCCCTAGAGCAGTGGCTTTAAGACAAAAGATGTTAAACCTATGTATTTTCCCTAAAACCTTAGTATTCAGGTCTAAATGCAGTGTTGGCACTTTACAATAATTAAGTGGGTTTGGGATTGCTGTTTCACTGTCACTGCCCTACCACAAGGACCCAGTTGGGCTTTCATGCGCAGGTCTGATCCTTCCACCCTTTCCCCCAGACCTCAAAGCTCTCAGATCTGCTAGATCTCCTGGATGATACTTCTGGGGACACCCGCCAGCCACCTCCTCTGCAGCCCTCCCCAGAGGGTGGCGTAGTACACCTCCTTGATCTCCCCAGTACACCTCCACCCCCAGGTAAACCTCAGCAAAGGGGCCACACTGTAGAGGGTGGGTGGAAATGGGCTTTCTCCTGTGCAGCCAGACTGCAGTTCGTGGGGCCGGGGAGATGACTCAATGGAATAAGCACTTCCCTGGCAAGCACAAGGGCCTGAGTTCAATCCCTGGTTCCACAAAAAAAAAAAAAGACTGCAGCTTGTGTATCCACTGTGCCCCGCCCCCAGTCCAGTCAGTCCATCTAAGTAGGGTAAAGGTTCATTCAGTCATGCTGGTCCTCTCTGTCCACCAATGTCTTCCTTGCTCAGACTTCTTCCCCACCCTGCAGGGCCCTGCTTTCTCCTCAGCCCTGCTCATGCCATTTTCCCAGTGCCCACTCCATTGACCCGACTGCCTCGAACCCTCTCACCTTAAGCCTTTGGCATTTCTTTTTTTTTTTTTTTTTTTTGGCCGTACTGGGGATTGAACTCATGACCTTGAACTTGCCAGGCAAACACTTATTCTACTGAGCAAGGCTTTGGTATTTCATGTTTGGTTTTGTCTCCATGAAATGTCAGCTGCTCTCCCCCAATGATCCTTTTTAAGGTAGTTCTTCTTTGCTCCTCTGGCTTAATTTCACTCATAGTATCCTTTACACCTTGATTATCTTTGTTTTTGCTTCTCCCACCCCACTGAAGGCTGTTAGCTTCAACCTTTTTAATTATTTTATTGGTGAGGACTGAACCCATAAATGATAGGGAAGTCTTCTGCAGTGAGCCATACCCCCCTGCCTTTTATTTATTTAATTTTGAGCTAGGGTCTAAGTTGCCCAAGCTGGCCTTGAACTTGTGATCCTTCCAACCTCAACCTAGCTGCCTGTCTACTTTATCACAAGCATCTCAGGCAGTGAAGGGTAAAGAGCTGCTCACTCTTGTTGCTGAATGACTAGCCATGTTATCCCGAGCCCTCACACTGAGTGCCTCTCCCTATTCTAGCTTCCATCCCAACTCTCAAAGTGTTTGAACGTGAGGGAGTACGACTGAATCTGTCTTTCACTCGACCCCCTGGGACCCCTGCTTTGCTCTTAATCACTGTCACCACTACCAACTCCTCAGAGGATGATGTCACCCACTTCATCTGCCAGGCAGCTGTGCCCAAGGTTTGTACAGATCAGGATACAGAGATGGCCTTAGCATCCAGGTTTGGCCAGGAAGCAGAGGGAGTGGGAGATAGAATAAGATGTAAAGCAAAAGCACACAGGACAGATACCTAAGAAGCCTGGGAAGGCGGCTTGGGCCACTCGGTGTGCAGGGTCTGCCTGAGGCAAGCCAGCTGCCTTACTGTGTTCTGCCTAAACCTCCCGCGTTCAGAGTTTGCAGCTGCAGCTCCAGGCCCCCAGTGGAAGCACAGCTACAGCTCGGGGTGGCCTGCCCATCACTCAGCTCTTCAGAATCCTCAATCCTAACAAAGTGAGTTCCGGAGCCTTGAAGATAAAATCTAGATATGGAAGATGTCCTGGGCACTAACTCTGGTCTCTGCTCCTATTCCTAGGCCCCTTTGCGGCTAAAGCTGCGCCTCACCTACAACCACTTTGGCCAGTCAGTACAAGAGATCTTTGAGGTCAACAACTTGCCTGTGGAGACATGGCAGTAACTACTCCATGCACTCCCCAAATCCTCCTGGCCCCAAAGCCACTGGCCCCAGCAGCCGGGATCCTACTCCAGAGGGCCACTAGGTGGCACTCAGCTCTGCATTTGTCACTGCAAAACTGTAGGAGCCTACCCTCCCTCACCTATACTGAAAAAAGCCCAATAAAGCCTGAGGCAGATGGAAAACTATGTATTTTTTTTTCTTTTTTGCAGTACTGGGGATTGAACCTGGGACCTTGTGTATACCAGTCAGGCACTTATGCCACTGAACTGTCTCCCTGGCCCAGAAAACCGTATTTGGGATATGTCTGAGGTAGAAAATATGTATGAATAACAGCAAGGAAAGAAACTTCGCACACAAGAAGTATGAATCTTTCCTAAAATATTTGGAACCTATCTCAATAATGAGGGTTTCCTTCCTACCTCTTTCCAGATCTGGGAACACATTTGTCCCTTAATTGCCACAAGAGGCACTCTACCCTCTGGGCCAGAGCAGGGCACAGTAAAAAAAATCAAGGTAGAATTTCTGGATTTCTAAAAAGAATTCGCAGCCCTTTCCCAACATGCTGTTATTTCCCACACCCCAAGGCAGGGAAATCCCTGCTGCCTTCCCTCATCTCTAACTCAGCTGTAAGGCAGTTTCAGAGCCGCTGGCAGAATCAATGGCATCGACCAAGGGAGGGGGGTGGCAAGGGATTTTCCTGTGCTTAACTACTGATCACGGCTAAGTGGAAATCCTATAAACACGAGCGGAAATCAATGGAGGCTGCTTAGCGGCCAGGGGAGAGGGGCGGCCCATAGATTGCATCTGACGGATGAAGGAGAAGAGGTACCCAGGAAGAGCTCTAGGAAGGGTAGCTACTGAGAGGGTGAAAGAACAGGTAGAGCTGGAAAGAGGAGCCAATGTTAGGACAGAGGCACCATGAATCCAGGTGTGGGATCCGCTGAACGTTGAGTTCTCTTGCCCTTCTGGAAAGGGACACCCCTAACCCAAGTTGCCGTCAGGATGTTTAGTCCCCTGTGGCTTCTTTCTGGAGCTATGTACTTGCAGCAGGCGCTGATAGTCCTCAGGCCGGAAGCGCTGTAGGTACACGATGAGCTTGGCAGGTGCTCTCTCCTGTGCTGGCACACCTATAGGCAAAAGGACAGTGAGCAAAGGAGGCAGAGCTACTACACACACTTTAACTCTGCTCCCAGCCCACCCAGCCAGGACCCTAAAGTTTTGTATGCAAAGCAGTACTGAGATTCTGAATGCCATCAACCAGCTTCTCACTACTCAATGGACTGTGAAAATGAGACCTAAAAAATCCACTTCAGGCAGGAGTGACTGGGAAGCCACACATGAGCCTATTATCTATAGAAAGGAGAAATGAAGAGGCACCAGGGCACCGTGAAGACAGAGGATGCCTCAACATTGATTCATTTCCGTTATTGCCCCTTTCCCCCAATCAAGACTAAAGCCCATCTAGGAAGTCCAAAGCTCATTAGCTTGGTAATGAAGCACACACAAAGATGTAGACAGAGAAACCAAGAACTATAGAAAAAAGAAAAACGCTATAGCTGTAGGGCAGGATTCACACAGAATTACTGCCTCTGAAACTGCCATGGCTAGTCTATTGTCAGTGCCCAGCAGCATGCTGAGAATGTAGGAGACAGAGTATATGATTGCTCAGGAAACTCAAACAGCATCCCAGGGCTGTCAGCCCCCCAGGGTGTGGATGAGAGCCCAGGATACGTGCAAGATTCTGAGTTCAATTTCTAGTATTTAAAAAAGGTGTACATGTGTGGGTGAACTGTCCATAAGGAAACTAAAAATAGGAAGAAAAGACTTGCCTACACTTATCCTACTGCCTCACATAAATGCAATGTTCTTGCCTTTTACTTAAAGACAAAAGGATAAATGAGGATCTAGGCAGTAATACAAACAAAAGGACAAAAGTTTGAAGAGAGAAAAATCAAGACAAGGAACTGATAAATAGAATTGGAGACTTGGATAGAGATTATGAGACAGAAAGATACACTGAAGGAATGAATCCAAATTAGCTGCTCTAGGGCTGGGGAGATGGCTCAATAGAATAAGTGTTTCTCTGACAAGCACAAGGGCCTGAGTTCAATCCCCAGTTCCACAAAAAAAATTAGCTGCTCTAGGGCCTGGGAGATAGCTCAGCAGCATAAGTACCTGCCTGGCAAGCACAAGGTCCTGAGTTTGATCCCTGGTAAAAAAAAATAAAAATAAAAATAGGGGCTAGGGAGATGGCTCAGTAGAATAAGTGCTTGCCTGGCAAGTATAAGGGTCTGAGTTTAATCCCCGATTCAAAAAAAATAAAATAAAATAAAATTATATATATATATATATATATATGTATATATGAGAGAAAAAAATAAAAATAAATAGCTGCTGTATAAAGGGGAACTGAAAAAAAAAATAAAGGGGAACTGGATTTGACAGAACTGTATAAGCAAGCTGGGCTGGTGGCAAACATCTATAATCCTAGGAGTCAGGAGGCTGAGACAAGAGGATAACCAAAAGTTTGAGGCCATAATGTTCTTGATTTTTTTTTTTTTTTTTGGTGGAACAGAGGATTGAACTCAGGCCCTTGCGCTTGCCAGGCAAGTGCTTATTCTACTGAGCCATCTCCCTAGCCCCTCATAATGTTCATGTTCAAAGCCAGATAACAAGACCCTGTCTTAAAAAACAAAACAAAAAAATATATAAGCAATAGGATCCTCCAAAGAACGGTTAAAACAATTCTCATTACACAAATAACCCAGAGATACTCAATCCCTCTTTGCCCCAGTATACAACTCCAGAAAAGGCAGATGGGAGCAGAGAAAGCACAGAAGGCCTGTCTCCCTCACCAAGCATTTTGCTGAGGCTCTGGATCTTCTCTAGGGCAGATGGTACTTCAGCTTCCTCATGTACCAGGGCCTCTACCTCACCCACTGCATAGCCAAAATCAGCTGTATCCAGGTCCACCCTGAGCAGCGGCTCCTCTTCATTAGCGCCAGAGAACATCAGCTTCCAGGAACTCCGCTTAGTTACAAAACTAGCTACTTCCTGCAGCCCCAGTGGACCCAGCACAGCAGCTACACCTCCTGTCCCCAGCCCCTCAGCTTCTAGCACCTGACACAGGCGGGTCACAATCGCAGAATCAGATGTGAGTTCCAAGTACTTAGTGTGGGTTTCTGGGACACCCACTGCTCCAGGACATTTTAACTCCCATCCACTACCCTCTCGTTGTCGCAGCCAGTGGTCAGACCGCATGAGGTTCAGCTCAGGGGTGTCATAGTAGGTGTCTCTGAAGGTGATCTGGTGCTCCAGAGAGCCTCCCAACTCCTGTAGCCGTTCCTCTGTGCCAGGTCCCGGAACAAACTTTCGCTCCACCTCTATCAAGCCCTGGGCCATGCTACCTGCAACAAACATTTGCAACAAACATTTGCTGAGTGCCCAAGGGTGCCCAGCCTGCGGGTCAACAGCTCCACAGAGACCCGGCCCTGGATGAACTCATGTTAGTGCTCTGCCTCAGCGATAAGAGGCCCTCACTGATAAAACTGGAAGCCAACTGAGTCCTCCACAAAAATTGCTAAAAATGATTCGCTACAGAAATAACACACAGCCCCTTGTCCACTCTTTGGTTCTGCAACACTGACAGTTTAAGTCCCTTCCACTGTTTGCAATCTTCTCAACCTAAGGTGCTCCCTACAAAGCAGGCCTTGAATCTTAAGTCTTTTCAACGGCCCCTCGATACATGTTGCTTCCCGAGGAAGCCAGCAGCTCACTGCCCCGGGTGACCTGCCCTCTCCAGCACAGCACCACCCCGTGGAGCCCCGGGTCTCACCTCAAGGTCGGAGGGTCTCCCTCTCGCGGTACCAGTACTTGGGGGAAGGGAGCCCATGCCACACACTCGCGAGGAATGCCGGGAGCAAGCCCTAGCCCCGGACCTCAACCCGCTGCGTGCGGACAGTCCCAGCACCAGCGGCCATATTAGGCCCTTGGCAGCGGTGCCGAGGGCAGGCTGGGGCCAGAGAGGCCTGTTAAGTTATAGGCGGCCGCGACCCTCGAGGTGGACAAGGAAGTGAAGGCTTACCATCGCGTTCTGCTTCTATCCCCTATCCCTCCTGCAGCGCGAGGTCAGCCGGGTCTTGGAGTTCAGGCTGAGCCCCGACACCCTGGGGTCTGGTGCATGATGGGAGATGTAGTTCCAACGGAAGCTAGCAGGTTCACCCCACCCGTCGCTATGGTGACCAGTAAGCTGCAATTAGTACAAACCGGACTCTACCTAAAGCTGACCTGGGGTTGTAGCATGGTGGGGCCCGCTGGGTGCAAAGAGCTGAGGTACAGCTTCAATCACAAGTCACTCACTGGAGACCATGGCCAGTGCATACTATGGTGGCAGACAGAGTACTGTGTGAGAGTAGAGATTAGGTCAACTTTAGCTACTCTGGAGCTTTAGAGCAGATCTAATACATCCTGATATGAATATTTTGGAGTAAGAAACTTTCTGTCGCAAGACAAATGGATACTTTGAATGGGAAGCAAACCTCGTAGGGTTTCAACACCAGACAGGAGCAAAGGCCCAGAAATAAGAACACCAGGCCAGTATGTAAGTAGAGATGAATTTACAAATGCAGTTTAGGGACAGGTTGGAAAAGGTCTTGAATGGGTACCAGACTGAGTGTGTCAGTGTTCAGCATTTCCTGAGTAGATTTTGTCAGGAGAGTAAAACACAGAGGTGACCCTCTTGACTGCCTTCAGAGCTTCTTCCTCTTCTCGCCTCAGAGAACCATGATCTGTAGACCTTAACTTTGACCCTCTAGGTGACAATACCGTCAACTCCTAAGCTTGCTTCTATGATGAATGAGAAGTGCCAGGTTTTCTACACCTGCCCCCTCCTCATTATACTTCTGGAAACAACTGGTAGGAGGTAGGGTAGGAAGTAGGGTAGGAAGGTCACTTGTGACATCCTGAACTTTGGATTCCTTAGATGTATCTGTCCCCCAACCCCTTGCCAAGCACCTGCCAACAGGGAGAGAATGGACCACAGTCCCTAACCCTTCTCATGGCCTGATTTTCATCCATTTTGCTTTTCAATTTGTTGGCCAATATTATTTTTGTGTGTGTGCTGGGAATTGATGTTGGCCAAGAAGAACGCCTAATGTTTTCCCTTTATGTAAGGTCCAATCCAGTAAGGGCAGGAGCAATAGCTTATTGGAACAGAAAAACTATAACAGAGACTGACATACTTCACTTTCCCAATGCTTGGCCTTGGTTAAACTGTACAACCTCCCTGAAACTGCTTTGTCATTGGTAAAATAAGGACTATCTTACAGGTATCAGATTATACAGTAGAAACTCAAAAATGTTAGTTTCTCCTCTCTTCCAACTCCCTCTGTGAATTTGGTGAGGCCATTAGAAAAGTAGGCCTTAGCAGGTACTGTGAACACTGGAGGGGCACCATCACTATTGGCCAGGTGACCACAGGCTAGTTATTTGTGCCTTGGTTTCCTCAGCTGTAAAATGGGACTAATAATATCTGCCTCATGGGGTTTTGAGGATTACTAGTGTATGTAATATTCCGTGTTACATACGTAAAAGTGCTTGGAACTATCTGTGAACTCAATAAATCTTAAAAATTATTATTGAAATATATAGCATTTCTTTTTTTAATTTTTTTTTTTTTTACATTTATTTGTTGTGTGTGTGTGTGTGTGTGGCCAGCTCAGCCCACCAGGAGGCGGGGCTGGCTGGCATGTGGTGCTGGGGGATCGAACCGCGGGCCCTGTGCTTTAGCCAAGCTTGTTCCAAGTAAGGGCTTTAGACCACTGAGTCATCTCTCTAGCCCCAATATATAGCATTTCTGAGCTGATAAACTGAAGAGCAGGAGCCAGAACCTCCCCTCCTCCTACAGAACTCAGAGAACTATGTGACCAAGTGGAGGACACAGAAGCTTTCCGAGATTGCTGTGCAAGAGAAGGATCTATTACCCAGTCGGAAGGGAGGTGGCATACATAAGGGACGAAGGGAGAAAAAGAGAAACGGGGAAAAAAAAGAGAAACGGACCCCAACCATCTCTAGGAAGTTGGCAGAAGCCAGAGCGTGTGGTATAGCTGATTTAAAACAACAAAACATGTATGGTTTCTATAGACAGGAGGAAGAGGGAAACATCAAGAGTAAAGGAACCTGCCTTCCTTGCAGGCACCGAGTAGGGCTACACCACAGTCAAGGAGGCGGCGGGGTGGGCTAGCCAGCGAGCACCACGAGACCTGAGTGGTTGCCTCTGGTGTTCCAGCGCTGAGGGCCACACGAAGGGTGGAGGCGAGCAGACTACAACTCCCGGCATGCACCGCGACGGGCGGGCCGCTGCACCTGCTCAGTGGGGCCGCCCCGGGCGCCTGGGTATTGATTATTCCATTGTGTGGGACGCTTCGGCTCCAGCCAGTGAATGAGGCGGAGGAGTGAGGGCGAGGAGGAGGAGGAGGAGGAGAAGGAGGAGGGCGAGGAGGAGGAGGCGGAGGAGGCAGGGAGCGAGCGAGTGCCCAGGGTGAATCAATGGAAACCCCCTCACGAAGCCGGGAAAACACTTCAGCCGCAGCCAAATAGCATTGATTATTTTCCTTAGCTTCCCTCACCGCCGTGAATTTATTTATTTATTTTTTCCATCTCCGTCCCCGACGCCCCGGAGCGAGTGCTGGAGGGAGGGAGGTGGAGGGGGGGAAGGAATCAACACATCGGAGAAGTCCCTTCCAAGAGCCGCCCCCTCCCCTCCCCGCCTCGCGCTGCTCGGCGGCCGCGGTTCGACTCCCGTCCCTGCTTCCAGCTGAGGTGTAAGTGCATCGATTTCCGATGCTGCTGGGTTGTTTTTTTTTTTCCCCTCTCCCTCTCACTCTTCTTCCCTTCCTTGGTCTTTGGGAGCTCGAGACCGAGGGGAGAGGAAGCGCTCGGATACTGCCGCTGGAGGGGACGGAGAGGGACGGGAAGAGGCTGGGGGAGGGGACACGGACAGACAGACGGACAGCCCTAGAGAGGGGGGCGGGTGTGGGGGAGAGGCATGCAGGCGGGGATGGGGACTGAGGAGGACGGGGACGGAAAGGCGGGCCCGCAGACGGACGGACGGACGGAAGGTAGCGGAGCTTGGACGGGCCGCGCCGAGCCGTGCCGGGCGCGGGGTTCCCGGAGGGAAGGGGAGGCCGGGTGAGTGCTAGGGCTCGGGAGCTGTCAGCCCGGAGCGGCCAGAGTGGCGGCGGCCCCCCGCGGGCTGCGGGATGGGGGAGGAAGGGAGGCCGGAGGACTGATGGATGGGCTAGTGCGCTGGGGTGCGGGGCGGAGGGACATGGATACCCTCTTTCTACCTGAAGTTGAGCTGCTTTTTTTTTTTTTTTTTTTTTTTTGAAAAGGTGTGAGTAAGGTGAGAGGAAGCCCCGTTCAAGGTGAAGCTTATTTGTACCCGTCCCGTCCCCCCTCCCCCCTGCCATGGCTAGGCTGCCCCTCTCTATATGAGTAGTCCTATCATTTTTGAGCACTGTACCACGCTTCTCGCCGTGCCTGTAGCCTAGCTGATCTCTGTCCATATGCCCTGGTTGGTGTTGCCATTCTTCACCTCTTCCCCTTACCCCATCCATCTCCAGTTTGTGTGTCACTGCCTATGCTGTGAACCTTCCCATCCGAATGATCTTTTCCCCGTGTGTCCCTGTCACTGTGTGTCACGCCTTGGCTGACTGTTTGGCTGTGTAGGACTCCATGCCCTCTCCTTCAGGGTCGGTCCAGATATCGCTGGTCTTTCTATGCTTAGTAGTTCGCTTATGAGCCATGATTATTATGGTAGCCACTAGTCAGTGTCTTTTCAGCACCAACAGGCCAGCCTCCTCTCCCACCTTCGCTAGGGAGGATTGGGACTTCCTTAACATTGTTGACTGTCCCATTTTGTCATGTGTCTGTCTCTCCCATCGAGACCTCACTTTCTGGTTTGTGTCATGTGCCCTTCTGGGAGCTTTCACCAATCTCTTGCCGCTGACTTAATTTTCCTCTCTCTCCTCAATTTACCATTTTGTATTTTTTCGTTTTCCCATTTAATTTCACTTTTTCTTTTTCTATTCCTGTATCCTGTGATATCTTCCTTGCTTATTCACCACCTTTGTTCCCATAATCTGCCTTCTTACCTTTTCTCCTTGGTCATCCAAAGTTCCTCTTATCCCTTACTCTTTTACCCAGTGATTTAACCCTCCATATACAAGCAGCTAGGAGAGGTGGGGTTATGGTTTATGAAGGCATATAAACAGGCCAAGAAATCAATTTAATGGGTTTCCAGGGGCATATAACCCCTTCATCAATCAGTGCCATTATGTCAGTGAACTGTCAACTTTGATTTTGTAAGGGGACATTTTCTAGGACTCTACGCTCCATCCTGCCTGGTTGCCACCATCTTTCAGTTCATCCTAGATATCAGTGGCTGTTTTCTTCATTTTTCAGTTCATCTTCCTCCTGGGCCCTTGCTATTATCATATTTGGATTCAGCATCATTCTTTATGAGGCACTTTTTATTATTGTGAGAGTAGCTGCCTTCAAGGGGTCAGGCTTATTCAGCCTAAGTAAATGTAAAGGTAGATAAAGGATCTTGGTTTTCATCCTTGGTTTTGAGTCCATCATTGTTTTTTTCTAGACCTCAGAGGTTGGAAGGAAAAAAAGAGGTGCATAAGTGTAACATGATAGATTTCAGAAGTAGACAGAATTACAGAAGGGAAGGGGAAGATGGGTACAATAAACACATGTAGAAGAGAAATGTATGGCATGAGGGACGCCCAGAGGAAGGGAAGAAAAGCTATGCAGAATGGGGGGAAGGGGATGAAGGAAGGGGTGATTAATGAAAAAGTGAGAGAATGAAATGAATACAAGTTAATAGCTATACAGAAGAAGAGAAATGATAAAATATTGCTAAAGAGGCAGTCAACAAAAAAGCAATATGAAATGAATACAATGTAAAATGGGGGAAGGGAGGGCTTGACGAATGAGGTAGGAAGAGTATGGTACAAAGAAGGTAAAGGGATAGCAAAGGCAGGAGTGCTGAAGCAGATCAGA